AGAGCGAGGAGAGAGAAGAGAGAGGGGGGGGGAGAGAGAGGGGAGGGAGAGAGAGGGGAGAGAGAGAGAGAGAGAGATGAGAGGGAAGAGAGAGAGAGGGAGGGGAAGGGGGGGAGAGTGAGAGGGAAGAGAGAGAGGAGAGAGGGGAGGGAGAGGAGAGGGAAGAGAGACAGAGGAGAGGGGAGAGAGAGAGGGGGAGAGAGAGAAGAGAGAGAAAGGAGAGAAAGAGAGAGAGAGGGAAGTGTCCATTCACCTGAAGGAGGCAGTATAACCCAGTAGTCATGAATATGAAGTCCTCTTTGTCCTGTGAAAGCTTTATTCTTACCTGTCCGGTTGGTGTTGTGCTGAAACTTTGTTCTCTTGAAGAGCTTTCAGTGCTGATAATATTTGACACATCCAGGTAAGTCAAATAGCGGGTCACTTGCTGACCACTGTGGTTCCTCCTGACAACCCCTTCATTCTTTACAGGACACATTTGTGACATGGAGGTCTGCAGGAAGTACCACAGCGGCCAGCATGGGACATGCTGTTTGACGCTCCTGGAAGTGTCGGGAAGTATTAGTGTCCAGAACTCTTGACGATAGTGAAGTGATTTTAAAATCAGTATATTTTCTTATAAAATGTCTTAGAACTCCAAAACATTATATATTTTTTAAAGCAGAGGCCCTAGAGAATAAATTGGTGGTTTTTGCATTTTTTTTTTAATCTCACACAGTATTTGCCCAGCCATTTTTCAAACGTAATTTTTGGGGAAAAATACACTTTTCTTCTAATTTTATTGCAATAAAAACCCCCACAATACATAACCTAATTTTTTTTGTAAAATATAAAAAACGATGTTACGCTGAGTAAATAATACCAATCATGCCACGCTTTAAAATTGCGCACGCTCGTGCAACGGTGACAAACGACGTAAATTTTACTATTTGTGTGCAACATTTTCAAAGCCTTTAGAGGTTACCACTTTAGATTTACAGAGGAGGTCCAGTGCTAGAATTAACCCCTCGTCCTCCAGAGGATTTTCCGCCCCTTCCTGACCAGGCCATTTTTTGCAATACGGTGCTTCTTTACTTTAACAATTGTGCAGTCGTGCAACACTGCACCCAAATTAAATTTATGTATTTTTTTTCCCCACGAATTGAGCTTTCTTTTGGTGGTATTTGATCGCATGTGCGTTTTTTAATTTTTTTTCGCTATAAATAAAAAAAAAAAGATGCCCAATTTTGAGAATAAAACAATATTTTCGACTTTTTGCGATAAAACATGTCCAGTAAAAAAATTTTAAAAATCTAATTTCGTCATAAATTTAGGCCAAAATGTATTCTGCTCCATGTCTTTGCTACAACTATCCCAATACGTGTAAATTAATTGGTTTACATGAAAGTTATAGCGTTTACAAATGGCGATTTAGATACTGGGATTTTTTTTTTGTTTTTCTAGTAACGGTGGCGATCAGCGACTTATAGTGGGACTGCGGTGAGCATTCTGACACGGGGGGAACTGACTTGGTGTCACTGACATCCCTAGTGACACCAATACAGTGATCAGTGCTAGTAAAAAGCACTAACACTGTACTAATGGCACTGGGCAGGAAGGGGTTAATGTGAGGGGCGATCAAAGGGTTAACTATGTGTAGGAAGTGTTTTACTAGGGGGCTGTGTCTGTGTGCTTCACTGTAAGCACACTGATTTGCTGTGTAGGAGCTGACAGAGGAGAGAACGGTTTTGTTTACAAACAGTTCTCCCCCCAGTTGGAGATGCTTGACAATCACCGCCTGGGACCCGGTGATTGACAGCCGTGAAATGCAAAATCACATATATATATACGTGATTTTGCGCACCCTTGCCGCCTTGTACCAGTACAGGGTGGATGGGACGCATTTAATGCCCATGATATTACTATTGCGGCGATACTCACATGTGTGGAACGATTTGTGTGCATATGGGACCGATGCATGCGTTCGCCTTTGCGCATGAACACGGGGGGGGCTCTTAAATTTTAATTTTTTTTAAATTATTAATTTTACAGTTTTTTAACCGTTTCAATACCGTGCAATTTTACACCTTCCTGCCCAGGCCATTTTTCAGGTTTCAGCGCTCTCACACTTTGAATGACAATTGCGCAGTCATACAACATTGTACCCAAACTAAAATTTTATCATTTTCTTCACACAACTAGAGCTTTCTTTTGGTGGTATTTAATCACCGCTGGGGTTTTTATTTTTTGCTAAATTAACAAAAAAAGACCAAACATTTTGAAAAAAAAACACATTTTTCTTTGTTTCTGTTATAAAAGTTTACAAATAAATAATTGTTCTTCATAAATTTAGGCCGAGATGTATTCTGCTACATGTCTTTGGTGAAAATAACCCAAATTAGGATGTATTATTTAGTTTGTAGGAAAGTTATAGAGTTCACAAACTATGGTATAGATCTGAATATTGATCAATCCTGAAGTACTGACAGCCAATCTAATTTCTTGAGGTCCAAGAATGTCAGAATAGTACAGATATCCCCAAATGACCCCTTTTTGCTGAGTAGACAGTCGGACGTACTTCATAAGAGGCATGGCGAGTTTTTTGAAGTTGTATTTTTTTGTCATAATTTTTCCGAAAATGAAAAAATGAAAAATATTATTTTCACTATTTTTTTTTTTACATACTGTCACCAGTGCAGTACAGCGTCATCATATAACTGGCATGGCGGTGAACAGGGACACTGACTGGTGACAGTATGAAAAAAAAAAAAATTATATATTTTTTTAATTTTTTTTTTTTTTTTTTATTATATTTAATTTTTTATTACATTTTTTTTTTATTTTTTTTAAGATTTTTTTTCATATTTTACTATGACCAAAATAGTACAATGTTACCATAGTAACATTGTACTACTTTGGGGAAGTGATCAGTATTTTTTTTTTTTTTTTTTTTTTACACAATTTGCTTATAGCAAAGAATTACTTTGCTATAAGCAAGCATTTAGCTGAATGAAATCGATTCATTCAGCTTTTTTTTTTTTTTTTTTGTGCTTAGCTGTGATTTGGTCACAGCTAATCACATGACCATTCACAGCTAGGCACTAGTATACAATGGATGGCATCATGAATGAAGCCATCCATTGTATACAACTGTCATGTGACCTGCTGTGATTGGTCGCGGCAGGTCACATGGTACCGGCAACGGGAGCCGGTACTCGGATCTGTCATCGGCCGTGTCCGAGGTGCACGGGCGGTGACAGATCCCGCTGCTGCGCCGCTCTGCAATAGCGCAAACGGCGCATGTGCGGGAGCACGCCAAATGGCGTGGACCCGGAAAGCTGCAGCGCTTTTCAAGCCGCCAAACGGCTATTGGCCGGGCGGCTAATGGTTAAATCACTTTTATTGCTGTCACAAGAAATGTACACATCCCCCGTGACAGCTACAGACACGTGACAGGTATTTTTTTAATGGCGGGATCTGTTCTATAGGATCCCAGATCCCGCCTCTGCACCTGAAAGCATTCAAAACACCAAGATCAGCGTTTTTGAATGCTTTCAGATTTTTAAAAATGGCGCAGAAAGTTTCCAAGTAAACCAGAAGTCATATCAGGTCATTGCTTCCAGTTTACAATAAGCCCTCATGCACAAGGGATGTTTTTACAGCGGTTGTTTTTGGCTTTTGGCAGTTTTTTTCTACAGCCAGTAAACCCCCCAGCATCGTATCCTATGTGTCCATGCACACATAGATTGGAATCAACGTTTTTTGGCTGGAAAAAAAAAAACGGGACTAGTTGGTTTATAGAGGAGTTTTTTAGCTGTAAACACGCCCTAACACTGCAAAAATACGGTAAAACGCGGCAAATCGCACTAACGAGCCAGGCCTTCTGTTTCCTCTTGTACCAAATTGTATTGTAACTGTAATGTCTACCTTCATTTTTTAAAGTGCTGAGCAAACTGTTGGCACTATATAAATCCTGTATAATAATAATAATAAAATGCCGCAAACCGGCATTTTTGGACTTTTTTTGACCAAAAAATTGCTGAAAAACGCGGGGAAAAACACCGCTATTCGCAGAAAAACATAGCTAAGCATTCATTCAAAAAACGCTAAAAAAGCTGACTTTACACAGCTAATGTTACCAGCGTTACCAAAACATCCCGTGTGCATGAGGACTAAGCCCTGGTTCACATATGCGTGTTCCTGTGATCCGCGTTTTGCGCGGGCACGAGAGCCCATTCATTTGAATGGACTCCTGTGCCCCAGGACCCGAAGGGAAGAAGTCCCTGCACTTCTTCTGAAAACACAGCCCACACTGGAACCTCGGTTCCCAGTACGGTTGCGATTTCCAGTGTGGGCAGCGTGCCGTTAGAATTAATGGCACCCGCCCACGGGTCCGCATTCTTCTGTGCAGGTGGTGCGGATCCGTACATATGTGAATCTATCCTAAAGGAGAGCCGATCAAAGCTGACTCTGGCTTTGTTTGGATGTCCGGCCAGCTGGCCAACACCCTGGCTGGTTACTCAGTACTCCCGGTAGGGCAGGAGATTCCGAAAGAGCGTTGGAAGGTGGCGGGAGGTGCAGGGACGTCCCCTCCCACTGCTTGTATAAGCAATCAAGCCGGCTCTAAAACCAGTAGCTGGGTGATGCCTGCACTCCGGTATAACCACCCAAAGTCCAGTGCTGTACGCGTACATCGCTGATCCGAAAGTGGCTTCTTTTTCTTCATGTATTGCTGCAAAACATTATTATATCTGTTTAACAGGGTGAGTATAAACAGGTACACTTACTTTTTATCATGAACTTTGTCTTTTCCTGCAGATGGCCAGTACCAGAGGTGTGATATAGATGACATCATATCGAGATCCTTTGAAGAAAATCCTATTCCCGCGAAACTCCATCCTGTACCCTACAGAGCAGATCTGTCATCTAATTCCGCTACACACAGGAGGAGTTTTTCTAACGATGGTGACACCGACCAGCATGGAGGATCTTTTGTCAAAAAGGCAGATCTCATCTCACCGCCGATAAGCCAAAAAGTAGAGAAACCATATTCGTGTTCGGAATGCGGGAAGGGTTTTACGCGGAAATACAATCTTAATATACACCAGAAAAGTCACAGAGGGGAGATCCCGTATTCGTGTTCCGAATGTGGGAAATGGTTTTCTTTCAGTTCAGATCTCACAAAACACAAGAGAACTCACACGGGGGAGAAGCCATACTCCTGTTCTGAATGCGGAAGATGTTTTTCACTCAACTCTGACCTTACCAAACACAAGATGATTCACAAGGGGGAGAAACCATACTCCTGCTTGGACTGCGGGGAAGCGATTTACTCGGAGGTACAATCTTCTTGCACACCAGAGAAGTCACAAAGGGGAGAAGCCTTTTTCATGTTCCGAATGTGGAAAGTGTTTCCGTTTGAAACATTTCCTTACTGAACACCAGAGAACTCACACGGGTGACAAGCCGTACCCCTGTTCTGAATGTGGCAAATGTTTCGTCAAAAAATCGTACCTCGATAGACACCATTCCATTCACAGCGGAAAAAGGCCGCATTCGTGTTCGGAGTGTGGAAAAGATTTTGCTAGTATGTCGACTCTTAACAGTCACCAGATAATTCACACGGGGATGAAACCGTTTTCTTGTGCCAAGTGCGGTGAAAGTTTTTCTCGAAGATCGACGCTTAACGTACACGAAAGAGTTCATACGGGGGAGAAGCCCTACGCGTGCCCTATATGTGGGAAATGTTTCGCACAAAAATCAAGCCTCCCGAAACATCAAAAGACTCACACTAAGGCTGTCCGATATGTCTGGCATTCCTGTTCTGAATGTAGGAGGTGCTTTAGGAATAGATCGAATCTACATGCACACGAGGAAGCACACAAGAGATTAAATCTAATGTTAGATCAGATCAAGAACGCCATTGACGAATCTTAACAGAAAAGCCATTGTGTGCGAACGTATTGATATATTGTATAGAGGTGTTAGACATTTTTGTTATTTATTGTTGTCAAGCGTGATGTTATTAAAAACAAATTTATCAGTTCAATTTGCGCAGGTTTTCTAAAATGTTTGAAAAGCATTTTCTTGATGTGTGGCAAACGAGTAGTTTTCAACATAAAAACTATATTGCCAAAAATATTGGCCACGCCCTCTAAATCATGTGATTCAGGTGTTCCAATCACCTCCATGGCCACAGGTGTATACAATCAAGTCCCTAGGCATGCAGACTGCTTCTACAAATATTTGTGAAAGAATGGGTCGCTCTCAGTTACTCAAAGCGTGGTACTGTGATAGGTTGCCACCTGTGTAATAAGTCCATCCGTGACATTTCCTTGCTACTACATTAGGGATGCACCGAAATTTTGCACGAAAATAGCCCTATCGGCATTTTGCCAATAGGAAAAATTTAGCCGATGCAGGAGACTGTGTGTACTGCAGATGTGGGGGGGGGGGGAGAAAAGGCAGGAGCAGAGCAGTGTATACAATAACATGTCCTGATGAAGTCACGAGATCACGTGATGCAACGCGTCGACGACCTCTGCATGTGACGCACTTCCGGCGTGGCGCCATTTTTGAATCTATCAGCGCTTTTCTCTTCATGCAGTATACCTTGCACATTGGATTTTATCCTGATTACAGCTGTACACCTTGCTCATTGGTTTCTACCTTGATATACTCAAGCTACATTTATGTGAGTGCACTTCTGGTTCTTTATTATATGCCATTAAACAGTATTACACTATGGGATTGTGTTCTCTTTCTGTTCTATGGGCATATGATCTATGGTACCTATATGAGTGCTAAGCTGCCTGGTGACTGGTCTGGTGGAGTGATGATGACCTATTACCTGTGACATTGTCTGGTTATTAAAGGGGCACCTTGAGGATCCAGAGAAGAGGTTTATTTGCTTTGTGGCCCTGCATGGTCATGATGTGGAGGTGAGAGGCCATTGCAGCCATACCTTTTGGGTTCACAAGGAGGGTGCTTGGATACCCACATTGTGCATGAATAAGGAGATCACCACACCATTTATGGACTTCTTTTACACTATATAAGTTTAATATGTGTTTCACATGGTGCTTGTTTCTGACCTCATAGCAGGAACTCACATTTGTTTTTTTAGCGTGTCCCTTTTAGGACGCTTGGGGGTCACGATTTATTATATCCTTATGTGGATTGGGGGCACGTGTGTTGTGTGATTATCAGTTGATCTTATACCTATTTTATACAGTATATTGTTTTTTATATGAGGATTAGCGTTGCATCAATTTTATGTGTTTATGACTTTAGACCTATATGGTATAGGATAGGATGCTAGCTGCTGTCTTAATAATTTTTTAATCTATACATTGTTTTTTCTGCCCTACATAAGAGCACAGGAGGATCTAGTCTCTTTTATATAGTAACTGGCTGTCACTATAGGTCAGTGCCGGTATTTAAATTTAATTACTGGCTTTTTTTTCTTTGCTATAGCTCACAGAATTAGCTGTCACTTTCCCCCCAGCTAAAAGAAACAAAGTTTCCGTCCAGAGATAAAAGAAACAATGTTTCCTTTTAGTTTCTTTCCTGAGATAAAAGTAACTGTTTTCTTTTAGTTTATTTCGTGAGATAAAAAAAACAAAAAAGTTTCCTTTTAGTTTCTTTCCCGAGATAAAAGAAACAATGTTTCCTTTTAGTTTCTTTCCCAAGATAAAAGAAACGTTGTTTCCGTTTAGTTTCGTTCCCGAGATAAAAGAAACAAAGTTTCCTTTTAGTTTTTGTCCAGAGATAAAAGAAACAATGTTTTCTTTTAGTTTCTTTCCCGAGATAAAAAAAACAAGGTTTCCTTTAGCTCCGGGTAAAGTGACAGCTAATTCTGTGAACTATAGTGAAGAAAACAAAAAAAGCCGGCAATTGTATTTAAAAATCGGCACAGACAATAAAGTGGCAGCCAGTGAGAGAGCTTCTCTGTATACACTGCTCCTCTCCTGCCCCCTCCTTGCACACACTGCCCCCTACCCCGTACAAAGAGGACCTGTCACTCATATGTTATCACATAGGGGACTATTGGTCCCCTATGTGATAGCAATAAAATCATATTAAAAAAAATAAAAATATTCAAGAAAGTAGAAAAAAATACAAAAAAAAATTGGAGCCTCCTCACCCCCACATACACAGACATTTCAGTTTTGGTTCGGTTTTTGGCCACATGCATTCTGAATTTTTGGTATAGATTTCGGCACCAGAATTTTCATTTCAGTGCACCACTACACTAAATATTCCACGCTCAACTGTTAGTGGGATTATACCAAAGTGGAAGCCACTGGGAACAACAGCAACTCGGCCACCAAGTGGTAGGCCACGTAAAATGACAGAGCAGGATCAGCGCATGCTGAAGTGCACAGTGCGCAGAGGTCGCCAAATGTCTGCAGAGTCAGTAGCTAAAGACCTCCAAACTTCGAGTGGCCTTCAATTAGCACAAAAACGGTGCGTAGAGAAAGCCTTTACTGCACCAGTGCCACAAAAAAGCCTGGTTACAATATGCGCGACAACACCTTGACATGCCTCACAGCTTATGGCACATTGTAATCTGGAGTGACAAGACCAAAATAGGGCTTTATGATCACAACCATAAGCGCCATGTTTGGATAAGGGTCAAAAAGGCCTATAGGGAAAACAATACCATCCCTACTGTGAAACATGGTGGTGGCTCACTGATATTTTGGGGGTGTGTGAACTCTAAAGGCATGGGGAATCTTATGAAAATTCATGGAAAGATGAATGCAACGTATAATTAGAAAATACTAGCAGACAATTTGCATTCTTCTGCATGAAAGCATGGGACGCTATTGTCCAGTGGGATAATGACCCTAAGTACAAGGCCAAGTTGACCCTCCAGTGGTTACAGCAGAAAAAGGTGAAGGTTTTTTAGTGGCCATCACAGTCTCCTGAATTTAATATCATCGAGCCACTCGGGAGATCTCATACATGTGGTTCATGCAAGACAACCAAATAATTTACATGACCCAGAAGCATTTTGAGAAGATGAATGGGCAGCTCTACCACCTGCAATACGGGGCTTCAAAGACAACTATTACAAAAGACTGCACATTGTCATTGCTGCTAAAGGGGGTAATACACAGTATCATGAGCTAAGGGGATGCAGACTTGTTAGACTTGCATTACTGTGTCAAAAGCTGTGAGGTGTGTCAAGGTGTTGTCAGGCGTATTGTAACTGGACTTTCTTGTGGCATTGGCACAGTAAAGGCTTCTTTCTGGCAACTCAACCATGCAGCTCATTTTTGTTCAAGTATGGTCTTATTGTGCTCCTTGAAACAACCACACCATCTTTTTTCAGAGAAGCCTGTATTTCTCTTGAGATGACCTGTGTCTTTTTCTTTGTATTCTGAACGATTCTTCTGGCAGTTGTGGCTGCAATCTTTCTTGGTCTATCGGACCTTGGCTTTGTATCAAGAGATCCTGAATTTTCCACTTTTTGATAAGCGATTAAACAGTAGTGACTTCAAGTCAGTATATTCAAGGCTTTTGGATATCTTTATATATCATTTTCCATCTTTATAAAGTTCCATTACCTTTCTATGCAGGTCTATTGACAGTTCTTTTCTGCTCCCCATGGCTCAGTACATCCATGCGAAAGCTAACAAACTCCCTGACTATACACAGACACGAATTGCGATGTAAAAAGCCACAGATGTGGGAAATGCAACTTTATTTGCCATTGTAACCCGTGTGTGTCACCTTGTGTGTCTGTATCAAGGCGAACATTCCAGGGGAGGGAAACTTTTGATCCGGCCCATTTGGGTGATTTCTGTTATCATTAGGATTTAAAAAGGAGCCAACAAACGATGTGACAATAAAGGCATCATATGATGGCATTAAGTGGTTAAACATCAAATGTAAACTTTTTAATTAATGATCCACTTAACTGATCCTAATTTAAAGCCATTTAGATATGCAGGTATTTTTATTTATTTATTTCAGATAGTTATTTAGCGCCGTCAATTTACGCAGTGCTTCACATAAATATTATACATTCACATCAGTCCCTAACCCTCAAGGGGCGTACAATCTAAACTCACATTCATACATACACATACTAGGGCCAATTTAGACAGGATTCAATTAACCTACCAGCATGTCTTGAGTGTGGGAGGAAACCGGAGTACCTGGGGGAAACCAACGCAGGCACAGGGAGAACGTGCAAACTCCAGGTACACAAAGCCATCCTAAATGTACAGTAGGTCATATAAAAAAAAAAACATGGAACATAGCATTCAGCACAAGGATATCAGTCACACTTTAACCCCTTGCCTACCGGGCGCTTATACTCCCTTCCTGCCCAGGCCAATTTTCAGCAGCTGTCGCACTTTGAATGGCAATTGCGCGGTCATGCAACACTGTACTCATAACATTTTTATCATTTTTTTGAGACAGATAGAGCTTTCTTTTGGTGGTATTTAATCACCACTGGGGCTTTTTATTTTTTGCTAAACAAACCAAAAACAACTGAAAATTTAGAAAAAAAAGTTTTCTCTTAGTCTCTGTTATAAAACATTGTAAATAAGTAATTTTTCTTCTTCACCGATAGGCAGCAGCACTGGTAGGTTACACTGATGGGCACTGAAAGGCAGCACTGACTGGCACTAATACGTGGCATTGATGTGGCACCGATGGTGCTACACTAATCACATACGACGTCCTCCCAGAACAAGAGAACCGCCGCCCTCCCATCATTTCCTTATATGACGGGTGGGAAGCGGTTAATATCCGCCTCCCCCAAAGTTTATTGTTCCAAGACAGGATCACCAGAAGCCCGTTCAGACCAGTCTTCTGCTGGCCATAGATGGACTGAAATTTGGCTGGTGCCAGCTGAACCGGTCAAATTTTCAATGGCCATTCCAGTTCGAGAGCAGTCGCTCTAAGGACCCACTGCT